TGCGTGGCATTCATTTGTATTTGGTGGTATTTGACAGAAGCACAAAATGGAGACTAATTTTTTCTTCTAGAGTATTGCTAGAATCTTTGCATTAAAAAGGTTAGAGAAGTATGAAATATGGCTTTAGGTGATGGTTTATCGTGGTAAGTAGCTGAACATTGTGGGTTAATTGAGACGATACAAAAAGAGTTTGTATCGTTTTTATTGCAAAAATGGTAGAATGGTAGATCATCAAAGAGTTATAAAGATGTATTTAGCATTAGAAACTATACGAAGAAAACTGTAGTCAAAGAATTGAACCCGCTGATAGTAATGCCAGTGTGATTAAGCTTTAAATACCTTCTGGAAACTGCTCCTTCAATTTCCCCAGCCACAATCCTTCCCAGTACCAAGAACAACCATTTGAAAGTTACGATTTGCTGGTTCAACAGCAACTTCAACAGCAACAGCAGCGATCCATCCGAACCTTTGCTTGGCTTGAACTATTTAAACGCATTCCATCCATCGAGCACCGACAATTTGTGCTGCATCATTGCCATTGTTTGTTCCCAACCAAAGTAGATGGTTCATCAACTCGACAAAAGACTCGTGCTATCGAGATTTCGCGAATGTCTAGTTACCAAAAGAACACCTTGAAATATCAAAAGGTGTATTTGGTGCGCAGATTCGACAAAAAACCGTAAACAGTTATAGTACACGCACCTCTAGCATGGGGTATACTGCAAAATTATAGGAAAGATCTAGGCTGGGCCGTTACTAAGGCAGCTGCAAACTTCTAGGAAGGAACTACGTTGGGACACCACCAAAGTAACTGAAAAGTGCAGACTCAATTAAATATCATCTATTTAAAACTATTGACAGCGCGTACTTTATTCAAATTGAACATTGATTGACGAACCCAACATAGAAGAGCTTCTCGACCTATTTCCATCTCCACTCGCATTCGAAGTATGTTTGGGAGAGCTTCGAGGCGAAGGCAACGGCGTTGACTTGGTCTTGAAAGGTCGAAGGGTAAATGCCTCGTCTGCGCTTACTGGGTGTGGTGCTCTCAATTCCGTAGTGGTCGCGAAACTTTTTTGTTTGGTGGGGGTCTCGGGAGCATTGTTTGAGTTTGATTTCGTTTTGTGTTCATTGGCTGGCGTTTCAATTACTGGTATCTTCTTGATATGTAACCCCGCCCTCAACTCGGATTCTTTTTTTTGTTTATATTTTGCCTCGTGTTCTATTAGTTTGTTGAACAATGCTACTCTGGTTTCGAGTTTTAATAAGTCGGTAAGGAATTGGATGTAGCTTGTAACTGGTGGCTTGAACCCAGACTTGTATTTACTCCTTGAGGGTCTCATTATCAAATGTACAAATGGTACTGAGCCTACAGCTTCCATATCATTTAAACGTTTCGACACCAGTGGCAATTCAGTCTCTGCATCTACAGATTCTACTGAAAAATCATCTGATATGCCGTAGTTTTCAAAAATACCCAATTCAAATACATGACATATATGCTCAGTCATCGAAACCAAACAAGCCAAATTACATCTTGGCAAGGATGAAAGCACCTTGGTTAAACTAGCCCTTGTATTCTCCCCATTGTATACGTTTACCACCGAATCAAATGCTGTAAATGGAATTACACTGTCTTTGAGTTCCAACAACCAACACTTGAAAAAGGTAACAACATCGTCAGCTTTTCTCTCTTTGAGGTGATTCAAGACCTCGTTGATTAAATAAGCCTTTTGGTCTTTGTCAGCTTCCAAAGTAGGCAAAGTGCACTGTGAGATAACACGAGTAACATCTTGTTTGATCTTCCATGCCAATTGAAAATCCAACGGTTGTAACCAGAGTAATTTCAAATTGCCATCTTTCTCGTGGCTCTCAATTACTTTTTGAGTCCCGTGTACAAAAGCAGGTGTTGAAAGGACACTTAGCGGACAATCCTCTTTTACTTGTCCTCTGGTGACCTGGGCTGATATATCTTCAAATAGATCAAACTGGTATTTCAAACTTTGAGGGGCAAAAGCAGACTCACCAGTCAATGGAAACACTATTCCCGTGCTCAGATTGTTTACGTGGAGGGACATGTCTTGATCATAATTTTCCTGTTTGTTCAAGTCTGTGATGGCTCTTCCGCAAGCTTGAATTTGGTTGAACTGCTGTAAATGAAACTTTTGAATTATTTGCTGCAATTTGGCCGAACTAGTGTATATGATTTGAACTTTTGTTGTTTCAAATTTCTCCAAATACTGTGCTAAATCTAGATACCCTTGTTGTAATAAATACGCCAACTCTTGTAGCTCGAGGCTTTGTTCATTATACTGGTCGGTAATCCCCAGTACAATTTCTTCATGATTCTTCTTCATAATGGAGCTTTTAACGTTATTGAACATACTATTAAACCTAGTTGTCGTTTCTGACATGTCACTCATGAACTTTGATGAGGGAGATGAAACTTTGCGGTCAGTATTGTATGGGTGTTTGACGGGTGTCGATGGCACCGATTCATCATGCGATTGGGACACGGAAATTGCCAAGTCTGACCATTCAAACCAAACCCCTTCACTTTTGAACCGTTTTTGGAATATATTGGTTGGATTGAGTAGCTTTAAAGTAACTAACGATTGGCCAAATTTTTCGAAATTTGATCGCGTTGGTTTCAACCCATGGATTCGTAGTCCGTTGAGTGCATCGCAAAGTGACTCGCTAACAAACATGTCATTTTTGTACCCGGGAATAGGAATCTTACGTTTAACAGTGGGTGTTTCGGCAATAAGTTGTGCAAGGGTTATTTGGAACTCGTTAATGGTTTCAAAAATCGCGGGGCCGACAAGTAGAGGGAATTGAAAATCAATGTCCAAGTCTTGTCGTATACTGCTCAGAGAATCCTCTTCAGCATAAGATTCATCATCACTGTAGTCAAAATCATCGTCCTCCACTTGTTGTTGCTGTTGTTGCACAGTTTGTGGTTGTGCATTCTCCTTCAATCTCAATTCATCAAAATATTTTGACTTGCTTTTGTCAATCTTGCGACTCAGCGTAAGATAATCATCGTATATGTCCTCCAAACGACTAAATTCCTTTTTGATGTTGGGTTCGTGGTGTTTGAGGTAATTTGTTAGATCTTCAAGTACAAATTTATCAATACTCGATGCCAATTGCAACAACGTAGTCGATTCTCCAATCATTTCGTTTTTGAACAATTCAATACACGAGCGGTACTTTAGAGTTTCGCCATTTTTGCTGTTGAATGAGCCTGATGATGCCAATTCATTACTGGTTTTGCTCAAATATTCACTATTGGAATGAAAATATTTCAAGAAATTAAACACCAACTTGCGGAAGTCATGCAATTGTTTCAACGATGTAAAGGTGTGAGATTGTAAGTTATGTAGCCCAGTGATATAATCAGGCGTCCAATACAGGTTAGCAAACGGCTGCATGCTTGTTGTGGTGGTGGGGGTTATGGTGATCAGAGATCAAAATGTGTGGAGGAAATTATCTGATGAAGTGAAAACAAAAAAAATTGCAAAAACGGCGCGTGTTGACACTTTTCTTACGATGATCTTATCACCACCAACAATCAAAATTAGAAATGATTGAGTATTGCAAATGAACGAGGATGACCAAATTCAGCAGGAGATTTCTGCTCTCGGTGATGATATCATAAATATAGAGACAGAACTAGAGCAACTAAGTAATAATGAATCGCTTTTGCGACAAGAGGTGACAAAATTGGAACAACTTGAAGCTGAGCAAACTCAACCACCTGTAGATGGGCCTCACGATGAAGTGCTTATGATCAAGCACACCTACTTTGACCCATCCATATCTCACTTTTTTGAAACCACAGAAGAAACGTCTTCGACGTCGTCATCGTCACAGTTGCAATTGATAAATCAGCGTATTATGGAATCTACCGACGTGAAAGAAAACATCATGTATGAAAATATCCTACGCATGAGTGGAATTACAGCGTTTCCCATTAATAATAAACATTTGTTCCCCAATGATGAAATTCTAGGTGTACGGTTTGATATCTTCTCATACAAAAGCAAGTCATATAAGCAGCCTCATTATGTGATTTTATTGAAGAGAAAAGACAAGAGTGATACGCCGTATTGGAGCGTTTATAAAACCACTTTGCCGATGTATGCGCCTTTGAATGAGTATCAACAGGAGCTACAACAGACGAGTGATTTAGACAAGTTTGTCACGAGGATACACATGTACATTGCCAAGGATAACGAAAAGAGAGGGGTATGAAAATCGATTGAGACTGACTTGGAAGCATCCCCAATACTAATAGCGACCTGGAACCCCTTGTATAGATAGAGCCTTGTCAATACTAAGTAAAGCTTGCCAGTCGTAATTTTTTAACCTTTAGGTAGCGCGCATCTCTTCTGAGAACATCTCAATCACACCTCACACTTGGCAAACCACTTCTTTCCAGCAAAACAATGTCTTGGAAAACTGCATTGCAGACATCAGCTACTATCGCCTCACTTGCCATTATCATCAATGAGCTACGGAAAGTGTATATACAAGCAGCTACTGCGGCCAACAAGTCTTCCAGCTTAACATCACTTCCCCCAAAATCAAGAGGTATCGAGTCGAGAATCGGAAACACTGCCTTGATCGAAATAAAATCCTTGTCAGCCAAAACAGGTTGCAAAATCTATTCCAAATTGGAATTGAGTAACCCAGCTGGGAGTTCAAAAGATCGCGTAGCATTGGCAATCATACGGGCAGCTGAATCAAACAACCAATTAGTGCCACATCAACAAAATGTCATTTTTGAAGGAACATCGGGATCTACGGGCATCAGCTTTGCCGTGTTGGCTAATGCATTGGGATATACTGCTCACATTTGTCTTCCTGATGATACTTCGCCAGAGAAACTACAGCTACTTGAAGCATTGGGAGCTGAGGTTGAAAAAGTGAAGCCTGCTAGTATCGTCGACCCTAATCAGTACGTAAATGCAGCAAAGAGAGGTGCTGATGCCATCAACAACGACTCGACAAACAATGGTAGAAAGGCCATATTTGCCAATCAATTTGAAAATGATTTCAATTGGAGAATCCATTACACCACCACGGGACCCGAATTGATCAAGCAATTGGAACGTATAGACGTGTTTATAAATGGAAGTGGTACGGGTGGCACTATTGCCGGTGTAGGCCGATGTTTAAAAGAACACAATCCAGCGACTAAAGTCGTATTAGCTGATCCACAGGGGAGTGGGCTTGCCAATAGGATAAATTTTGGCGTCATGTATGATTCGGTGGAAAAAGAAGGTACAAGGCGAAGACACCAGGTTGATACACTAGTTGAAGGTATTGGTCTTAATCGTCTCACGTGGAACTTCAAACAAGGAGAGCCATACATTGACGAGGCGGTTAGAGTCACTGATGATCAAGCGTTGAGGATGGCAAAGTACTTGTGTATTAATGATGGATTATTCTGGGGTAGCTCGGCAGCAATTAATTGTGTTGCTGCTGTTAAGACGGCTTTGAAATATGGACCGGGTCAGAATATAGTTGTTGTTGCTTGTGATTCTGGTGATCGGCATTTGTCCAAGTTTTGGAAGCATGCAGTGAACATACCTAATGATATTTCATTGGAGGATGTCTTGAGATAAAATAAACAGCTGAGCTGATAAGGAGCTGTGACTGTTGGTAAGGGTCGATGGAAGATGGTGCACAACCACAGTGTATGTAACGCTAGCTCAGCTTGACTATCAATATACATCCCACTTAATCTACTTTATACCACTACGATTCACTCAAAAAAAAAAACACATAAATACAATATAAATTAAACCCCCTTTCCGACTAAGTCAATTTCTATTTCCACTTCAACTCTTTTGTTGCTCCTTGATCATCTTATCCTTAGTCTCTCTGTACAACTTGATCGTACTCAATCCAGAAGCAGCAATACCCATCCAAATTTGCCAAGTTTGGAATGGCAACGCAATACTGAAAACACTATAAGTATTAAACCCCAAATCGGCCAACAATTTATAAATTTCAATCCAACAATTGGTCTTTTTAAACATTATATCGTGTAATTTCAATTCATCCTCACTGTTGGAAGAAGAATTGTAAGTTGACGAAGTCAAATTTAAAATATCGGCTCCGCCAAGCAATTGTTTTGATAGTATTTTGGCTTTATTCCGCACTTGAATGGCGATTTTAAGATCCATTTCTTGTTGAGTCAAATTGGTTAATGTTTCATAAGTGTTGTATAACGCAATCCATGATTCACCATACCAGGCATAAGACTCATGTTTATTGACAAATGTCTTGTATGTGGGTGAAGTCAACAATTTCAATTTATAAAGCAAGATTGATTCATCATTGATTCCGTAATATAATGAAAAAATTTGACTCAATGTTGAACGATTAAATAACTCCTGTTCATTAATTTGCACCATTTTATTCTTGAAATTGATGTTGGTTTTAAATTTAACCAATAAATCTCTTATTTTAAATGGTGTTTTACCAAATCGAAGAAATTGCCGATACATTGATAACCCATTAATCATGCCAGCAAATCGAGTCTTGAATAAAGAACAGACAATAATGGCAATAATACGAATGAAATCAGATGGATGCTTGATGAAATTTTTAATCAATTCCAACTGTTTTGTTGAATCGTCGTATCTTAATTTAATGGCGGCAATATTGACTTTATCGTCAGATAAGTAATCTTGAGCTTGAGTTGCATGGAAAACAAGTAATCGCAATGTATATTGACTCACTTTGGCCATTTTATCTTTACCAACAATATTGTTCAACATTGCCCAAAATATTTTCCAGTTGCTGATGATTGGCGCTTTGGGGCCGATAGTGGAAGCGGTTGAAGACGCTTGCGAAAATGACTCGGCATTCTCCAACTTATGGGCCTCACCATCATCAAGGTGATGTTGTGGTGGGATATAAGCAAAGTTGTTTTTTGATTTCAGGGGAGTGGTTTCATATCTGATATTGGACCCAGAGGCCATTGCCGTTGTTGTTGACATCCTCACTTGATCTTCGAGGAGTTTGGAAATATTTTCGGGTGAGTTTTGCGCTGATTCGATCCACTCAGAATTGAATACTTGTGGCGGTGGTTGTGAATATAGCTTTGACGACGGATGAAGCGGCGATTGTCTAAATTGTCTATGTGAATGCACTTGGGGTATCGACTGTTGGTGGTGGCTCTGCAGAGAATGTGACTGTGGCGTTTGCTCCTGTTGTTGTTGTTGCTGTTGCAGATGTGGCGATTGTTGTTCTTGTTGTGCTTGTTGTACGAATTCTTGTTGATGTAGATTTGGCAGTTCCTGCTGCTGTGAATTTCCTCTTACACTATACTGCGGTTGCGTATGGTGAATACCTTGTTGTAAATCCAGATCTAGATGATGTAGTTGGCTTTTTTGATGTTGATGTTGGTGTTGATCATGCACCAGCAGTTGTTGTTTATAATATTGTGAATTTTCAATAGGAACTTGATTAAGTAATGGACTAATTGATGAATCTATATCATTCATCGTCAGAAAAGGAAAAAGGAGGAGATAAATATTAGTTGAAATAATAAAAAACAACAAAATTATATATATATACTGTTCTCTTTTCCGTTAAATCAATAATAAAACCCTTTTGTAAGATGGAGTTGCTTCTTGTGTTATCTGTTAGGTTGTTGTATTTAGTTTGTTATTGTTGTTGTTGTTGATGTAGATTGATAACTGGTGTATGTGTAATTATGGCACTTTGGTGGTTTTATTTTATTTTATTTTTTTATTGTTGAAGATTTTCTTTCAATTAAAATTTTTTTTCTTCTGATTTTTGTTAAACCCACCTCGTTTAAATAATACAACAGTACAACAGTATATCAGTAAATGACCCCAGTATGTGACATAATTTTACACTACTCTTCCTCTTAACTTGACATAAATTGTTGCTCCTCTACAACTAACTACTTGGTGGCTGTTACAACAACTACAACAACTGCTATTGTAACTTCAATTATAACAAAAGAAAAAAAAAATTGACCCGCACGTTTTGTGTTAGAGCGAGAGGTTTAATGTTCAAAAGGTTACAACATAGTTGCATTTTTTGCCAATTGTAAGTCTAATATTGAACTAAATGGATAAACAAACAACAGTAGAAATAACAGTCACAAGGTTATAATAAAAGAATCACTTGTGAGCCAATTTCACAACACAAAAGGGGGGGCTCCTTATTCTTTTTAGGTTTGCAATTAGAAAGGGTGCACATGTATTTAATGCAACCTGTTGGCTGGTCTTTGGAGAAGGAACAGCTAGTGCCAACCCAACTTTATTCAACAGATTTTAACAGACCCAGCAGAAGTGAAAGAAGATTAGGAAATAGTTCTTACTCAACAAAACTGTCTTTGTCTTGACGTAAAACCAGTCTATAAAAAGTTCCAAAACAAAAAAAAAAGACATCATGCTTTCAAATGAATACACCAATAAATAAATAAATAAATAAAAAAAAAAAAATACATACATACATTGGAGAAGGAGGTGCTTTGAATCCACTCTTTCTATACTCAACAGTTTATACCTCCCCTCTCAAAAACAAAAAGATTGAACTCTTCTTCTCCTTTTTTTTACTTCTATATCATGACACGTTCTAGAACTAATTCTAAAAGCCACACATCATGTGAACACAAGCTTAAGCTCAAATGTTTGACAGGTCATGCTAAGAGCTGCTAAGAGCTACTTTCTAACAACACCACCATTAACACCACCATTATTTCAATTGCTGCGGCTGCTTTCCGTTCTCTTCGACAGCAGGACCCATCATAAACGCACCAACACTACCCAAATATCCCTCATGTCGCAAGAAATAACTCTGCATATCGCCCTTTGACCAAAAATTAACCGCATAACTCAATGTATGAATCGTTTGCATATGGCCCAGGATGTACAGACCACCAAAATATATTCTCTTCAAATTAAATCTTAAAGCATGCAAATAGGCAATTTGTCCAATGTTGTTACTAACACTGAATAATAAACTTCGAGCAATATCTTCTTGTTTAAATTGTGATAACTTCTCGGCAGTTGTCATTGGTTTATTATTGAATCGTAATTTTTTAAACACTTTAGCAAATGATGAGGCAATGTGGTTGGCTTTAAGTCCAATCTTGTTATAATTCAGCCCGTAGATATCACCCACCAATAAATCAATATTTTCATTATCCCCCCTCTGTGCCATTTCCAACATTTCATTGTAGTCTTTAGCATCAGTCAATAAAGAAAGCAAGCCCCATAATGTACCGCCTCCTAGTGAACTACCGCCAATTCTTTCAAATCCATCAGGTCCCGCTTTGGTGACTTTGATCATCGATACACCCGACCCTATATTGACTAATAAATAGGGGTAAATCTCTTGTTTTGATTGTAATGGTTGGAATCGAGTGCATTGGTCATTTAAATCATACGTGAATATTTCTTGAGGAATCTTGGTTATAAGCCAATCAAGACCCTTTATCAAACAGGCCATTTCATCCTTGGCAATAATCTTCATCGGTAAATTGCGTTTTCTAAATGTCTTGGTCATTAAATTATAAAACTTGTGGGCACCTCCACCAGTAGCCATGATATATGTTATAGGAGGCCGTGAGTTTGTTTGTGATATTGATTTCGATATCAAGTGAATCATAAACCGCATAGCTTCAACTTTGAAATTCTCCGTTTGGAAATCTCTAAAATGTAATTTTCCTCCAGTGGAATTGTGCTTTGGTGATGTGGATGTTGATGAGGAGGTGGTAGACGACGATGATGTGCTAAAGTATACCAATTTAGTCAAAGTTCCACCAATATCCACCGATATGTGTATAATCTCATCGTTATGTTGAGGCAAATTGATGTTATTTTTAGTGCCAACTCCTCCATTACGTATAATATTATCTCCAACATCAATTGAAGTATCTCCATTTTCATCATCTTCGAAATCGGAAGATGTGCTTGAAGATGGCGGTGTCAGTGTATTTGATGATGATGGCGAAGTATTATTTTCATCCTCAACAGCAATAGAGCCTCGTAACAAGTCATCATTGGCAATATAGGCTCCACTGCAGTCAATTCTAATGGTGCCTGGATCAGCTGATTGTAAATCGATGTCTTCATGAGACACACTCAATCGATGTCTGCGCTGTTGTATATTAAGCGAAGACGGTGAAACCGTAGGTGGGAATGATGGAGTAGAAGCGATGCCCGTGGATGGACCAGTAGATGTAGATGGGGATATTGCTGCTGTTGTTGTTTCTGTTGCTGTTGTTGTAGTTGCACTTGAAGCATCTACCTTCTCCTGTTGTACAGTAGTATTGGATATAGTAGTCTGACTGATATTTTCATGGTGATTATTTAGTATATTACTAGGATGTGTATGTGTATCAATGGAATTATTGTTATTTTTAATTTCACGTCTATCATTCATCTGATCAACAGATTGCATAACGAAAGATATGATTGATATTTCAAGAAAAAGATGTTGGTAGTTGATAAGTGGTTTGGTTGTTGGAGTGTTTTTTTACTTAAAACTGAGGGATAGAAAACTGTTGTTACCTGATAATGATGTTGTTATAGTAGTGGTGTTATTGGTAGGGAACGTGGTGATATATATAAATAAGTAACTGTAATATTTTGGTGTATATATATCTATATATATATAAGTTGGAAAATTTAGAAAATCTTTTGAGCGGGTTTTATTTTTTTTTTTAATTTTTTTAATTTTTTGTTGAGTTTATTTAAACAATTTATCAAAGTATCAAACTACTAAACTACTAAACTAATACAAATATATTAATGGGTTTTAGATTATTACATTATACTTGGGAAAGAGTTACGTCATCATATACTATATTCTTAACTAATGATATGTTGTGTACTCTGTTTTATTATTTTGATGTAATAATTGTATATTAATAATTACTGATCGTATAATTAGTACCACGCGATACGAAAAGCACCCTCTTCACTTTATATTTTTTATTTTTATTTTTTTTTTTTGTTGGTTGATTCTGACTTTCACTTTTCAACCGCTGGAACAAAAGATGATCATTCAATTTGATCAACAACTACTAACAACTACATCCTACACACTCTCCATAAGAATTATGGTCAATAGTAAACTTTTAGATTTCTTAATCTAACTTCTAGAAAAGGAAAGAAATTGCGATTTTATATGTTTTTAGATATTTTACATGCACCCCCCACCACCTCAGCATGTCCGCGGCTACTGGCGCAAAAGTAGTTTCTATGATGCCATAAATCTAAAAACGTTTCCACTTTATCCTCGGAGTTCAATGTACTCTCAGACTTCTTTTCATATTGGATCTAAAGCGAACCATCTTTTTCATCCCCAATCGTTTTCTCTTCCCCCACCTCATCTATCTTGAGAAATAAAAGTCTACTATTTGGACCTTTAAAGCTTTTCTGCACATCAGCTCCTTTCCCTCTCTCCAGAAAAGTAAGAACCAATGTAATTCTGACCAAGCGTGTCGCCATTTTTTCTAACCTTGCTACATCTCTTTATGGCAAAGAGGTTGAAAGTCAATGTGGTCTGACTTATGTGGGTCTAATGTTGCTGTTGCAGATAACCATTACCTCCTCCTCCTCCACTTCGTCTCTTGCCCCACAAAATCTCGAGAAAGCGCATTTTGTCTCAGTTCTCCCTTATACCCGAGCCGCAGAAAGTGGGCATATCAAAAGAGGAAATGTCCGAAAAAAGAATCCCAAATTTCTATCTCGTGCATACATTATATATATATATATATATATATATCCAACCATTATACCTTATACCTTATACCGAATGCCAAATATCAAGCTAAGCACCCTGTTCCAAGCAAAAAAAGCAAAAAAAAAGCAAATACAAGAAAACACCCTATTATCAAAATAATAGGAATTTTGAAGAATTGAAACCCACCCACCACATAAATAAAAAACAAAAAAGTAGAACCAAGATAAAAGGCTAAAGTCATCAAATATCCCAACTGATCTCTTTCATATTGATTACACTCAATATATTAGTAGCCAAATCGTCCTCCCTATTCCCTTCATTGTTACCAACGCCAACAACCGCATTCTCATTATCAGCACTTTTTTCACCCTTACCATATATGCCTCTTTCATCAACTGAATTAGTCTTGGAATGAGTATTGGAACAATATGGAGTTGGTGTCCCGCTGTCACCAAGCGACAAATTAGTACTGTCCAAACTCACACTTCGACTCATATTGGCACTTCCATTCCGACTTATGCCATTACTATTATTATTACTATTATTGTATCGATTCAAGCTGGTGCTTGAATTGTTGCCAATAATACTAGGAGCACTTTGATGGTGGTGGTGGTTATGTCTCGAACTGAACTCATGGATATCGGGTAATGGGGGGATTATAACTTCTTCCTTTATACAGGCTGCATGGTGAGAACTCCATTTATTATCATTGTTACTGCTGTTAATACTGTCGTCGTAGTAGTGGTAGTAGTTGCCATTGCATGATTCATCTTCTTCGGGAGTGAGTTTAGGTGATGCGGTGTTTGTGTATGTAAAATGGTCATAATCTAAAGGTATACAAGTGTCATATGTTGGTTCATAAGAAGGAGAAGACAATGGTGTTGTGCTGGTGTTTGATGATTGGCGTTGAGCATGTAATGGTAGATGAAGGAAATGAGGACTGCTGTGCTTGTTATTTTGATGGCTATGGTTGATTTGAGTAAGTTTGACAAATGGCTGTGAGAATGACAGACTTCGATATCTAAAGGTAGACGAAGATGAATGTTGTGGTTGTTGACTCAAATCAGGTGTAGATGATACAAACGTAGCCGATACAACTGATCTAGGTGATGTATTATTACTCGAATAAGGACTTGAATAAGGCGTCGATGCTGATGCTGATGCTACTGTTGATGTTGTAGAAGATGTGGTTGATTTACATCTAGTCAATGTATATGTGGAGGTAGACATCAATTCCTTCTTTATTGTTTTCAATTTGGTTTTAAATGACTTGGTATTGTTAATATTGGTACTCATTATAGTCGTCATTATAATTATCGTAGATGGATACAAAGAATGAAGTTATGGAGTTATGAAGTTACACGGTACAACTAGGGAATGCTAGTGGTGGTGAACGAAGTGAAAAGTGAAAAATAATAATAATATTATTATTATTATATGGGTCTTTTGTGCCTTTCTGGTGTCTGTTTTGATTTCGTTAAAATACAAAAGTCAATTGATGATGAATATGTGTAAGATCTGAACTGACTTCAATTGATGGGGGATCGATGTGAGTTTTTATATATACAAAAATTTTCTATAGTTTTTTGTCGTAAGTTTTTGTATAAATGAATGGAATGAAAATCTTTTTTGGATCAGAAGAGGAGGAGGAGTAGTTAATGTGATTTTGCATTAACTTTATACACAAAAGAATTAAAAATTGGGTTTATGAAGGGTTGTTTAGAGTTGCGTTGTTTGAGGTTGTGTGTTGTTTTAAAGGGCGTTGGGCCATTCTACATAAAAAGTGTGTGTGTGTGTGTGTTTGGTTTTATATACAGGAATGTTTGGTGATTGTGGTTTTGTGTTGAAATTGCACTAATCTATTGTTGAATTTTTAGCTCATGGTACATTATTTCCTATTGTCATCTTTCGTCTAAAATGAGACCAGTATTGGGCATTAGTTGTTGTGTTCATTCTGATGCCATTGTGTGCCATTGTGTTTAAGATTAATGGTGGAGAGTTTATGCTTTGTGTAAACTATCTTTCTTCACATGACAAAATGTATCTACTAAAACAATAGTTAAACTTTTCTGTTTTTATCCTTTTTTATCATCACTGTGGTGTTCTTTATTTTCCCTAATTCCACTATACCGTAAGTCCCTTTTCATTGAACTTTTCTGTTGTTTTGCCTTGTTTTAGATAAAAGAGAACAAGAGTCTCATTTTGTTTTTCCCTTCTGTATAATTAAACTTTTCTCTACTAACCAAATTGCAAAACAGGCAAAGTTTTATAAATTGTGGTATTGGTTAAACACAGTTACTGTATGTATCAGAGATCTGCCTTTCTTTCTTATAATAAAATATTTTATAAAATGTTCAACTTCAGCAGCAAAGTCTAGTCTTTTCCAGATTGAAGGTCTTTTTTTTTTTATTCAAACAAACGTTAACTGCACTTGCACATAATAAACTACTGGTCTCCCTCTCTCCCTCTCTCCCTCTCTCCCTCTCTCCCGTTCTTCTTTCCTCAAAGCGAACTCATTTTTATTTGTTGTAAGGCATGACTCACTCAGCAAAAGAGAACCAGTATGCCTAGTTGTTGTGATTATACACCACCACTACATAAGCACATGACACTTGTTATACGTAATATCCACATAAACACGCCTAAAGAGGGAATAAGAAGTTTTCGAAAACAGTACCTGATTTGAGAAGCGGAAAAGAGATACAATAGATGGATAAACAACCTAAAAACTTATTACACGCAAATTTGCCGCAATTTGCTTCTTTGTTTCTTCTTTTTTACACACACTACATTGTGGATTTTACTTGTTTTGTTTTTCTGTTCGTATAGGTATCGAATTTGAAATCACCTAACCCCATTCTTTACTCTTCTAGGGGAGGAATATACTGCTAAATCAAATCCCAAAGCAACTAAGGAAGGACGTTTGACTAAACAAAAAATAGAAAAAAAAACTGAAGAAAGGATTCGCAGAAATAGACTGCTCCCACTACAAACAAAAACAAAAAAATAGTCTGATTTTGACGTTGACCCTTTGATGAATTTTTCTTTTTGAACCCCAAAGGCAGATTTGCACTATTGCTATTGTTATATCAAACTGTGGTATTTCATTGCTCTGAAGAGGATTAACAAAAGCCTTTTTACATTCCCCTTGTGGCATTTATTTTATTTCTTACTTCTACAAGAGCGGTTAAATATACACAAACGAGCATCAAAGTGGGGCAAAAAACAAAAATATTGGAGCTTAGTCTGCGAGGGGCATCGGGATTTAGTTGTAGATGGTTATGAGAATTATTATTATTTCACTTTATGAGAATGGATGGAATAGAAACCAATATTGAATTAGAACTAAAACCGTCGATAGTAGAACATACCAGACGTATGTATCTTCAATAGAACACAGAAATAAGAGAGAGGGAGAGGGAGAGGGAGAGGGAGAGAAAAGAATGAGGACAAAGAATTGCATATTTGCAATCCTTACAATCAAATCAAATGCAAAAATTGTAGAGATTTTACCTTGATGAGTTAATTCAAATCTGCTCTTTTTCTTTTTTGTCCAATTTGATACTTTTACCTTGCTATATGCTATTGTTCTTTGCAATGGGACCTACCAATTTCTCAAAGTAAGTCTCAGCTTTGATTGGCTGTATGGTAATTAACGTGTGTTTTACCAAGAATGGAAGCGCTCTTTAATCACAATCTCTAATCTATCTCTATCTCCTATTATTACAATACAATATTGTGGTTTTATTGTATTCTTATTGTTAGTTTGTTTACGATTCATCTATATTGAGAGAGTGGGTTTGGAACTCTAATTGTTTCAAATAATTAAACTTTATTTATTTTATATTTTGTTCTTTTTTCTTGTTTCAGTGAGTCTAGAATCGGATGCAGAAACTAAAACCAAACTTGGAATAACTCAATAAAAACTTACGAATAAATGGAGTGTCGTTTTTAGTCTTGAACTGTGTTTAAACAATCTTTTACTTAGATACATGTGGGATTTAGGTCCCCTTGGTCCCCTTTTAACTGCAAATAACCAAATTCATTCTGAGGCACAGAGCCTTTCCCATTGAGTAAATACACCCATAATCTCAATTGGACAATTTAGAATCTAGAACATTTTGGCCAGATGGGTTGTTGGTTGATGAATATTGTTCAAAGACTGTTGTACCGACTTCTTTTTTGTGTAGGCTGTTACTTGTCTCACTGCTTAAATAATAATCATTTTCTTTGTTTGATGGACAAAACGTCTCTCAATGATGTCACCCAACGATGGGCATTTTTCCCAGATTCTATTACGGTTACCATTTATTACTCTGTTAAACACAAAGTAAGAAAGTTGCTCAAAAATAGCTATAATTGTCTTGATATTCAGTCTCTTTTTGTAGTCTACGCATTGTCCAAACTTTAACGAAGATACACATACGATACACACTGCAAAGACAATATACTGGAGATAAATATACTAACTAACAACTGCAACCATAACCCCTCACTATATGTGATTAGGAAATGCTATTTCTAACTCAACTTAAACGTATTGCAGGGGTCTTCTCCATCTCTAACATTTACTTGTGCTTTCGTCAACTATATTCGACCACATAAAAAACCGAGAAAAATCACTCTGTTACCCTTTCAAATACATAGGGGGTTATTACAACCCCTAGTAGCAAGTTGAGGTATAAAGCTATAATGAAAGGACACATAGCAGACTTTCCAAATAAGAAACATCTAGTCACGTGCACTAAGTTTCATTTCCGTGCCTTCTTTGTTGTCGGTATTAGTCGTGCGTATGAAAACCAAAAAGAAATATTTTACTAAACGCGCATAATTTGGATTTATTTACCCAGATGGTCCTAACAATAGTTTTTGTCTCTGAATAACGTCAAGGCAAAGAAGAGGGAAAGTAAACGTAGTAGTTTAAAACACTGACTAATCAATTTGTTAAAGAAGCTGTGTGAAAGGCTAGCCCTAAAACACATGCGTAGTCTCACTGATACACTTGATACTTGTTGAACGAGCCCTTGCATTCGAATCTTGCCTTGTTTGTAAGACATCAAAGAAAGGAATCTAAGGAAAATACAGGTGGAGAGGTATGCGCCATAAAAGTATAAGATTGGTGGATGTAGAGGAAGTATTGGTCAGTATTAACGGTGTAGTTTTGATTTAACAGAGAATTAACAAATTTAAAAACAAAAAGGGCAAACAATTAAGGAGATGTAGTTCTCATGTGATATAAAGTAGTAGTCTATAATACTCTATAAATATTTTTTAGTATACTCCTTTTTGTTCGATGTTAATTGGTGGTGTATTGATTGAATTGTTGTTGTTTAACTGGTGAATATTGATTAACGAAAATTGATTGCAATTTTTAGTTTTTAAAATTGTAGAGAGAGAGAGAAATTTTATTTCTATGTCTTTGTATTGTTTTTGTGTCAGGGAAAAATGATTTCTGTTATTTTGCCTTCGCGCGTATTTTTCTGATTCTGCTCCAAAAAATGACAACCAACCAATGGGATATAAAAGACAATATCCTAGTGTTATTTTTTTTTCAATTGCTATTGTCCCTAGTTCATCTTTTATGCCTAACTATCAATAGACGTTACTTGTCACCCAAGAGAGTAGTCTCCATATCTCTATCTCTTTCTTTCTACTACTACTTAATATCGCTTATGCAACTTAATTTTTTCTTTTTCCCTCTTACATCATCTTAAATCAGTAGTTGAACTTTTGCAGCAAAAATTTCATTACGCCGACTCACTCACACACACGCACAGAGACTCAGACAAAACAAAAATAAAAAGTATTAAGAGTAATAAGGGTAATAAGCCAAAAGAAAAAAAAAATTACTTAACCACAACAGCAGCAGCAGAGACAACAAACAACAAACAACAAACAACGAAAAAAAAAAAATTCACCCACCCCCTCCTTCCTCTGTCCAGTCATCAAATACTACACCTCATCAACAGCTCACAACACATTCGAATCAATCAAGCATAATAACTCTTCATTGCAAAGAGAGATACACACATACACCTCATCTAATAGACTCACACTTCCACCTGGATCGCCACACACCACTTTGCCAATTATGGTATTGTACAAACGAAAACAAGTCCCCTTTGTTCCTCCTCCACCTACTCCCGCTGACCCATCTACTCAAGTATGGGTCATTCCCAACACTAGAGAATGGTTTCTCACATATGAAGATTTTCTTGATCGCATGGATTTTTACAACAGAAGAAAATTTGTTTGTGAAATCACCGGTAATTCCTGTCTTACATACTTTGAAGCATTACAAAGTGAAGCCAATGAACGCAAAGAGGTTGATCGCAACTTTCCTGAAAATCTACGTGAACATATTCTACGATACTTGCAGTTTAATCAAATATCCCGATTAGACCAACTAGTTGACAAGGTGTATCTGACATTTAAAAATGACTATTTCCCCGGTGAAGTGGTGTTTCTTAAAGGGTTGGACCCTAATAACCAAGCTCTTAAATCACGCGGTGTCGTACGAGAAAAAGTTCAGTATGCTGAGGAACCAACAAAGTACCTTGTTATACGGTCACATGATAAACATCAAGCTATAGTCACTGGTGAAAATATCGTACGTGATAGAAACCACTTTACCAAGTGGTTGATCAAAACATTCATCAAGTTGACAATGTCACGCTCACACAAGGTTGGGGCTCCATGGGTTGTTAAAGCGGCTTATGCAAAACAGTATGGAATACCGACAACTTACCCAGAAAACCTTCGTCAATATATAGACTCAACTCCAACAGGCGATCCTACTTATATTGTACCAAAAAGGAGAAGATTGGAACCAGAAACAAGGCAGGAAGTCAAGATAAAACCAAAAACTGCTACACCAGTGTTGGATGAAGTTACAAGATCGGCATCGCCAAGTAGTATTCTTGAAAAGAAGAAGCTGAAGCTAAAAGCAGAAGTGAAGCGAGGCTCGCCTTCGGTGGAGCTGATACCGTTTAGAAAGAAGTTTCCTATCCATCATGTGCCCGCGGCTGTTTTGAATGAATTAGAGGAAGCAGAGGCCACTGGCAACGAACATGCTAAAGCCTTGTTTCAACAACCCACAAAGAGAACAATTGTGGACGATTTGGCCATAAAGTTTGACATTCAAAATGAACGACCAAAGCCAAAGGTGTTGAAGGTTGAGTTGCAACAGGAGGATGAAAATGCAAGCAGTGACGATAGTAGTTCAGTCGACACCACTGCTGCCAATGAAGTCAACTTTGTACCCTTAAATGCGGTGCTGGAAGCACTTCAAGTATGGGTGTTTATGAATGTCTACCATAACGTGTTGAATATTGACACGTTTACCTTTGACGATTTTATCACATCCTTGACTTACAATTTGAATACACCGAAGCTAAGATCAACTATGGTTGATGAAATTTATTGCTCGTTGCTATGCAAGATTGTATCCAATGAGATTCCGAGTGCAAAAGATGCAAAAGAGGCTGATTCTAATGACGCGATATATGGGTTGAAAATAACAATTCCGCAGCAGCTAGAAGAAGATCCCAAAGAGGAGGAGGAAGAGGCAGAGGATGACAATGAAGACGAAACTGAAACAACAGTCAAGAAGGAACAGATTATAAAAGATAATGGAGGAGACGAGGCTAATGGCGATAGAGGGTCTGAGAGTGAATCCGAACACAAGCCTTTAAAAGTGGAGGACGAACGCAGTGAGGCTGAAGAGGATGAAAATGAGACTGTGAAGAAAGAAAATGGTGTTGAAGAAGAGCAAGAGGATGAACCAAGCCATTCGGCGTATGAATATCTTAGATATAGAGGTACTCCTTGGCATGATAGATTGAGAAAACGTAATTTCAAAGATGGCAATTGGCAAATCATTCTAATAGGTGTTTTATCATTGATTGAAGATGTACCTAATTATCACCAAATAGTGCAAGATATATTCAAATCATTGGCACCGAAAGATGGTCTGGTTTCGGCTGCTACTTTGAGAACAAACTTTTATGAGCACCTTGACATCAACTTGAAACTCCATGCGTTGTGCATTTTGACGGATTTACTCATCACCAGTCCATTGGTGAGAAGTTATATTGAAGAAAGCCTTGAACAGCAAACGAGTTTGAGAAGAACGAGATTGGAAAATATAAAAGAGTACAAGACTAATTTGGAGGTTGCTGTTAAGGCACAGCAACAAATTATTGAGGCTTTGCCTCCAGTCGAAGAGTCTGCTCCTGCAACTCAAGACGAGCAAAAGGTTGAAACTCCAGGACTAGCCTCCAACAGCCAACCTGCCAAGCAATTGCCACATGGTCTAGACCTTCAGAAGGGCCTTGAAATGTCAGAACGAGAGCGTGACTTCGCAACTTCTCATCCCGAATTTGCTGAGCAATGTGAGCTTCGTCGAACGGCATTGTTGAAGCTTAATGAAATTAAAGAGAATAAAAAATTACTCGAACAAAAATTAAATGAATTTGATTGTCAAAGAATAAAGCTTTTAGGAAAAGATCGTTTGTTTAATCGATACTGGTGGTTTGAAAATAATGGGATGCCTACTTTGCATAAAGGTTCCGCAAATGAAGATGACGAAGATGACGATGATGAAGGTGAAAAAAAGGAAGATGAAGACGAACAAGATGAAGAAACCGATGATGTTCATGATGAGACGTATCTCATGGGTAGATTGTGGGTGCAAGGGCCATGTAATACTGATATTGTCTCCAACTTCAAAAGAGAAGTTGAAGAAATCAGGCTGTTTGTTGAGTCAATGACCGATGACGCAGCAGTTGAAAATGTCAGTGAAGACAATGGAGGATCGATCAAGGTGGAGTCGGTCGATGGAAAGCAACTGAATGAACAGACAAAGACAGAAAGTGAAGCCACGGAGGAAGGAACACGCAAACGAAATCAAATCAAACTAATAAACTTTTCAGAATTATCTCCCAAGTTTAAGCAAGCAATCGAACAAACATCTCAATTGAAATTTACCGATAAGGAAATATACTCCTCCACCAACGAAAAGCTTCTTGTTGACCAAGAGGGATCCTTACAAGTGCCATTGGGCGAAATAACTCACATTCAACGTAAATTCATTGAGGAGTACTATGATCCTTTATTGAACAGTTCAGCATGGAGATATTACGATGAGCCCGAGGACGTCAACAAATTGACATCTTGGTTAAATCCATGGGGTAAACGAGAATCAGCATTGCGTAAAGAATTGATCTTGGTTAAGGATGCAATTACATCAAGCATGGAAGCAAGACAAAAAGCACTTTATCTTAATGGAAATGTATCACCTCAAGAGCAAAGCTTGCGTGATGATATCACCAAATTGCAGAATCGATTAAAGGTCATTGAAGAAGAAGAAGAGAAAAAGAAGATGAATGCAAATGCAAATGCGAATGCTGATGAAGGTGGCAACGACTCAATGGATATTGATAATGACGATTCTATTCAAATTGGATCCAAACGAAGATCAAGATCAAAAAGAGCTAGTCCACAAATGCGCAAAAAACCCAAATTAAACACCGTTGACGATTTCGTGGACCATGGTGAAGTTCATGATATCAAAAGTAAAATTGACGAACTAAATCAAGAGATTATTGAGAGTAAACAAGATGTTGAAATTAATCGAGTATGTGAATGGGTCAATTCAAAAGCATTGGATGTGTTTGGTAAATCGATATTTGAAGGGGGCGATAGAGCCAAAAAGTCAAAACGTAAATAAACAGAAAAATAAGAGACTTTGACATTGAAAGTAATGTATAAATCTTGTAGAATCTTCCCAGAGATCTTCTTTTTAGTATCTCCTTCGTTTATGATCATTCCTATTGGCGATTTCCCTAATCCTGTCTTGGCGTTGTCTCTTTTCCCTCAATTCCAACTGTTGCCTAAGCTCATTACGGCGCGATATATCCTCTCGTGCTTGAACTTCGGCATTGGTTAACGCTTGACTCAATGCGCCAAACTTTTCTACATTCAACGCATCATCACTATTGCCATCAGGGCCTGCACCACCAGCGCCACCAATGACACGCTTATCCAACGCAATAGTAAACCCCGAATTATTCTTCCAATTCGAGATCGCGGCGGGGATATTCCATTTCTGTCGGTCTTCCTTGCTCACTTTTGTTGGCTTTTTCAAGATGGCGCCTGTTTCTTGTTCTTGATCGTGGCGCTCGTGGCGGTTTTTCCGCAACTTGTGTTTAGGTGGAAGTAAGGGGTCTTCTTGCATTGTTTCAATTTGGATGATCTTGTCCTCACCAACATCGGCGTCAGCATTAGCACCATCACCATTACCATCACCACCACCACCATTGGCAGCAACATTGCTAGGCATATCTCCTGTATAGCTTATATATGTAGTTTGTTCTTTCTTTTGAGTGCCCAATTTAGCGTCAAGTAATGATGTAAATATAGCTCGCGTTTCTTCGATTATTTGAGAATCGGGTGGAGGTATGGGGAAATGATGTATCAAGTTGGGGAATTTGATCTTGAGAGGGATTGTGGCATCGTAAGTTTTAGCTTTGCTGCGATTAGTAGTGGTGGAGTCTGGAGTGGGTAGAACAAGGACCGATTCGTAGTTCAGTCGAGGTGCTGTAAGTGCTGATGTTGATGGTGTGCTGGTCTTATTTTGTGGTGATGCGGTGTAGTGGAGTTTGGGGTTGTAGTTGGAATGCTTAGGGCGCGGTAGTAGTGAGCTAAACATTGCGTTGCTTGTTTATTAGAAAGGAGGATTAAAATGAAAGACTCTGGCATCAAAGGTGTCCTTCGCGATGTTTTTGTCTTTGCATAAGTCGTAAAATCATTACTTCTGACTTTGGCGAAAGCGACAAACTACTCTCCTATTATAGACAAACTAGCACGGATGATACAAAAGCCCACTCCCACCAACACACAAGGTAATGACAACACTTGTCACACAGTTACAAAACAAGTTCAACTCCACTATTTTTAAAGAAGCATTTTTATTGGAAAATAGAAGGAAAAGAAGAAGAATGGGGAAAGTAAATAGTAAACGCATTGATTTCCAAATTGGGAATTCTCAGATGCGTTCTTTCTGTTTTTCTATTTGCAACAAAAATGCGCAATTGTATGCCCCCAAATAGATGATTTCCCTTTAGTGAGGTTTTTGGTTATATTTATAAACAGAATGGTTTCCCCAAGCTATGAATTTACAAAGTGCTGAATTATTGACCCAACTTGAACTCATCACCTTATAACTATATCTAATCATGTCTACAACTACTGTCAACTCGGATATCATCATGAGTTCTCTGTCTCCATCATCATTCGGAATCCGTCAACTTACAAATGCTGACGTCCCCAAAGCAGCAGCGACTTTACTTGATGCATTTCTGGGGGATCCATTGTCGAATTATTTGGTTCATCACATCAATGAGCCTGCAAAACGTACACAATGTGAATTGGCCTTATACGAGGGGTATTTACGACAGCATATGACTAAAGGCTTGGTATTTGGACAAGGAGAAACTGAACAGCTGTTTGAAACAGTAAGTATTTGGTCTACTCCAACGAGTGCTGAGCAAGGCTTGGAATCTTTTAGCCATTTAATGGAATCAGGTTATGATAAAGTATGGAATTTGTTTGGGGCGCAAGGCAGAGATAAAATATTCCAAGGATTAATGCCACTATTACACGACTCGTTTGATAGGATTACCACCAGTGACAAACGATTTAGAGGTAAAGACGTGTATACGTTGGTGTATGTTGGGTCAACCGCTGCTGCTCGCGGTAAAGGTAATTTACGCAAATTATTCACGTTCATGTTTGATAATTATATTGATTGTGATGGCAGTGGTGGTGTTTTGACTTATTTGGAAAGCTCATCCCTGGCTAACATTCCTATATATGAACGATTTGGATTTCATTTGGTTGAGAATATTGTGTTGGGTGAAAAAGCAGGGGTTGAGGGGAAAGATTGCGCGGTGATGAATGTGATGATTAGAGGAATAAAAGGTGCCGATTGGACTAAGGATAACTGCAGATTATAAATATATGAAGTCCTCTATGTACATGAAACAGTAAATAAACCAATAAGCAATTTATTCATCCATTGACAACACTGATTTTTGAGATGGTAATGTCATACTAGCGAACTCTTCCTTGGTCTTTTGTTTGATCAACTCTTCTTGCAGTTTGGAAATTGGCTGTACTACTTGATCTGGGGGAACAAATTTGAATTTCCCAAATCCAAATGCCCTATCAGTCATTTTATTCAAGACATACAATTGTGATCTCACATAAACCAACAACGCCTCAACATGTCTTATATCAACATTATCATTTGCATTGAACACATTTCTCCACAATGCCGCGGCTAATGTTATATCGTCAGTCATCAACCCTTCATCGTAACTCAATACACTTCCCAATAATTGAGTATGATAATCTTTTAAATATCCTTCAATCAATCGACCCGATTTTATACCCAACTCAGTCGTCATTCTTGACAGTAAATCTTCAAATATACGATCGACTAACTTCTGTTGATACTGCTTGGCATATTTAAAAGGTAGAGCTCTCATCCGTACTGAAAGGATCCAATAATGTAAAATGGTAATTTGTACTTGTTGTGAAAACGACACCGGTAACCCCAATGTTTGGAAATAAAATCTAGCGGTATCACTTAATGGCTCATTAGGGTACACCAAGGCTTGTCTTTTGCATTCACCAAAATAAATCCCACCACCAACTGGTCCACTTCTTGATTTATCCATATCGATAGAGAAAGTAGACACGATCCACTGTCCAAGCTTTTCTTTGAACAACGATAGTCTAGCGTTATTTGGATCGTCTTCTGCTTTGGATAAAAATGGAGCCTTGGCTTTCGGTTGACGAGGCTTGATTTTCAAGTCTTGCTCTACTGTTGGCAAATGTGATTCTTGAGCCATATGTGTAGGTGATTCAACAACATCTGGTTGGGTTCTGTGCTTGTCGAGAATGGAAGTTTTGACTTGAAATTGAGCTCTGCTGGTTTGTGATAGAAGCCTTATTGGCGTATATACCAACCTGGTTTGAGGTCTTAACATGTTAAGTGTATACGTATGAACGAGCTGAGGTCTGCGGTACGATTCACTTGTGCAATTTTTCTATTTTTTTTTTCCTTCAAGCTGATGAAACTTTCGTCTTGAAAAAAGAAAAAAAAAAATTGAAATTCAACACTGGGTGTGACTTTGTCAATATCAATAATCATTATGAGTGGGTCAATAACGGATGCTTTTAAAAGCTTGAACGTCACTGGCGACTCCTCGCCATCTGAATTGAAACAGATCTATCAAGTGTCATTTGAGTACTTGTCAAAAGTGAAGAAGTTTGACGACTTGCAAGCATTCAAGAATTGTCTTGTTGCATTGATCAATTTAGACCAATACGAAGAAGCAGCAAAGATCATTGCCAAGGTACCTGCAAAATTGGTTGAACCTTTGATTTTAGAAATCACATATGTTTACTACAAGATTGGAAATTCAAAGCAAATCTTGCAACTCTACGAAAAACACAAATCAAAAATTGAGTCTAAACAAGTGCAAACAGGGTTGAAAAATATATTGGCGCAGACGTATTATAAAACTGGTGATTATGAAAAAGCTTTGGGTTTGTATAAAGGTTTAATTAGCGGTTCGTTTGACAATCAGAGTGACTTGTTGGTCAATGAACAAGCGATCATTTCACAATTAATTTTCCAAACTGGTGAAGCCACGGTTGCAAGATCCAACTCAGACTTGGACCCAACCAACTATGACATGCTATTCAATGAAGCCATTATTGAAATTGCTAAAGCAAACCTTGCTAAAGCCTTGCAATTGTTGCAACAAGCTCACAAAGTGTGTTCAGAAAATAACTTGACTGATGAAGATGTTGAGACAGAATTACTTCCTATTAACTTGACCATTGCTTATGTATTTCAATTGCAAAATGAAGCATCAAAAAGTGACGAAATTTTGTCTGCCATTAACATTGACAATGTACATGACACGTTACTCAAGCTAATCTTGAAGAATAACATCCAATCAGAAAAGGCGATTGATAGCGCAAATTTAATTGATAGGCAATTGAATTATCATGAGACTATTCAAAAAGTGAAGCAAAAGATAACCTTGTTACAGTTAGAGTCGGTTTTAAAAAACAGCTTGGTCTTGAGGTTTACCACTGGTACATTGTCAGCTACTCAATTGGATTCGAGATCCATTGCCAATCTCGGGTCAGTTTCGGCGGCTTACCGTGTCTTGTCAAGAAACGACATCAGCTACAAAGCCCTCAAAGAAGGAAACAATAAAATAGTCGGTAGAAAATTGGTACGGTATATTCGAAAAGAGTCTAGATCAGACTTAAAAGAAGCCGCTGTTTTGCTCTTGGTGTTTATCAATTCACAAACTGGTTCATTTGACCAATGCTTGCCATTTTTAGAGAAACTCGTTCAGGAATCCCAAGACCAACCGAAAATCTCACCCGGAATTATTGGAACTCTTATACATGTTTATGAAGCTACACACAATATAAACAAGCTAAAAAGCTTACTTACCAAATTAACGGAGAAGTTATTATACACCCCTGAGGATGCTTTCAAGGACCAAAATTACTACAATTCTGCTAAGGTCATTGCTATGAAAAACTACAGTTTCAACAATGACAATTCCAGACAATTGTTTGAGTTTTTACATGAGTCGAAGCCAGACGACGAGTTGATAAATTCCCTCTTGTCAAATTCAAACGATAGCTTAACACCAGTTTCGGAGTTGGAATCGTCAAAACCCATCGAAGACATTTTGTCCATCAACTTGGATGAATTGATACCAACAAAAGCCAAGCCAATTCAACCAGTGGTCAAAAAATCTACAAAAGTCACAAAAAAGAAATGTGCTCCCAAGTTTGGAAAAGACAAAGTGGTCAAGCCTGAAGGCGAGTTCAAGTTGGATGATGAAAGATGGTTACCATTGAAATTGAGAAGCTATTATAAACCAACAAAGAAGGATAGAAAGAAGATAGGTGGAGGGCATCAAGGTGCAGTTGAGTCATCACCCGCACCTGTTTCTCATAATACGTCGCTGGGTAATGCCAACAAGAAGAAGAAAAAGAAAGGTAAAAAGTAAGACGCATAGCGAATAGCGGGTGAAATGAATACAATATATTAATACGACATAGTATTGTAAATGTCTCTTCTGTACATGGTTAGATGGAGTACATCAATGTGGAAGGTGCAAGCATTTATATTGCATCACAGAATTCGTCTCAACAGACCCCTCTATTCTATCTCGCCATATCTCGCTTTGTAAATACTAGGAAGTAACAGACAGTGTTTTAAAGTGATTTCTCCGCAAAATAACCAGCGCTACCAAGTTAGTTTTTTGCATTAGTGTTATATATATCTACGATTTGGGAGAGGGCATACATCGATCTTGGCATCTGTATCGTTCAATGTTGAAAATAATTGCCCTTCTTTTCCTATCAACAACTCTTTATGCATTGAAACTACCGCTAGTTCCTCCCGATCAGGATCCTTTTTACGTGGCGCCTCCTGATTATGAATCTGCTCCATTGGGAACCATACTAAGATCACGACCAACTCCTAACAAACTAGTCAATCTATGTTTCACTTTTGAGCTAAAACGGTCTTGGCAGATTTTGTATCGATCACAAAACTCCTTTGGTGAAGCGACAGCTATAGTAATGACGGTGATGGAGCCATTCAATTATCAGCCATCAAAAGTATTGTCATATCAAACATTCCAAGATTCAGCCAATATCAATTGCAGCCCCAGCTACGGGTTCCAATTTGGAGCACCCTTGTCGACAATTGCTTCACAATTAGACATGAGGTTCCTAGTGCCAGCTTTACAACAAGGCTACTTCGTCATCAGCTCTGACTACGAGGGTTTCAGCTCCAGCTTTGTTGCTGGGAGACAACTGGGATTTGCAGTTTTGGATGGAGTAAGAGCCATGCTAAATTCGCAAAGCATTACAGGTATAGACCCTCTGGCAAAAGTCGTGTTGTGGGGATATTCAGGCGGTAGTATTGCTTCAGGTTGGGCAGCTAGTTTGCAACCCACATATGCCCCAGAGTTGAAGCAAAACTTGTTGGGCTGTGCATTGGGTGGCTTTGTCACAAATATAACGGCCACAGCCGAGATTACCGATGGAGGGATCTTTGCTGGGTTGATTCCATTGGCACTCCATGGTTTATCCAACGAGTACCGCGACTTTAAGGAAATTATCAATGAAAATGTTGATCCACAGCATATGAATTTTTTCAAACAAGGTTCAGAACGTTGTTTTGCAGGGGGTTTGAACTTTTTCCGTTTCCGAAGATTTTTCCAAGGCACTAATCGTACATTTCCACGCGGGTTTGATTTGCTTCATGATAAAACCATTGGCAAAATCATTGAAGATAACTGTGTTTGCCACTTGAATCGGACTTTTCTACCGCAAATTCCTATTTTTCTTTACCATGGTTTATTTGATGAGATTGTACCAATAAGTGGACCACGCCATATTTACAAGCAATGGTGTTCTTGGGGCATCGAATCATTGGAGTATTCAGAAGATTTATTAACAGCGCATGTGGGACAGCAAATTATTGGTGCTGCAGCGGCGTGGACTTGGATTGAGAATATATTTATTGGGGTGAAACCAGTGAAAGGCTGCTCTTATATACAACGTTTAAACAATTTGTATTTTTATCCTGGAGTGAAGCAGCAAATCAAGGACTATTTCTTGGGGCTTGAGTTTAGTATTCTCGATTACATCATAGGTGGGAAGTCATTTGACTTTAGTAGTCTCTAGGCGTGCGATTCTAGGCTATTTTTCATTGAGCTCTGTGATGCTTTGTTTAACTAAGGAGTGTTTATTGATTTATGAATGATAATTTGTAATGGGGAGGGACGTTGACAATTACCCTACGTCTTTAATTTTGTAAATGTGTTTAAAAATGGATGCTATAGCCAGCATAATAGGTCTCACAGACTCACCATGCCCGTCGTAGTCTGTTGACTGGTATTTCTTTTATATATATCCAGTTGTCTTAATATTAACATGTCTAAGAAAATACATAATTCCATTAAAGCTCAACCGGTATCCAATAGACACCATACTTGTCAACCCAATAAGAATGGCGCCATATTAGCCGCTAAAACCGAACGGAGGCGAATCCAATAGAGATGGCGACAACCGAGGCAATTCACCTATCAACAGCTTTGAAAATGTGCTGTTCTTAAATGTAGAAGGTATCGGTCAGTTTTCGGTTTTTCCTTAATTGGAAGAGCCCAATAAGATATAATATGCATCAAGGGTAATTATTATTATTGTTCTTTTGGCACCGTTTAATAAAATATTCTTAACGCTTATCTTTACCAAATTAGTCAACTGGATGCCAGACAATAAATAATTAATCTATGATAATGAAAGGCAAAGATAAGATAATTTGTTAAAAAAGGATCTACATTCATGCTGCAGGAATTGGAATACCTATTTAGTACTAAGTCCGAGATTTGTGTTTTCAACCTCGGCTAACACAGTTTTGAATCTTTGCGGTCGAGGAGTTTCTTTTTCGGATAAATTGTTATTGTGTAATTAGATGTCAATGATGACATATTGTTTCATTGCCACTCTTTGCGTGAAATTTCCGCCAAACTATAAATGTCTTTCGTTTTCCCCGTTTTGATTCTCTAGCAATTGTTCTTTACATCACATAGTATTAGTTCAGAAAAGATGACAAAAGCTGTACCAGACACATTTAAAGGATTTGCAGTCTCTGATCCAAAAAATTGGAACAAGCCAAAGTTGGTATCATATGAGAGAAAACAGATTAACCCACACGATGTGGTATTGAAGAATGAAGTATGTGGTTTGTGCTACTCAGATATTCACACATTGGAAGCCAACTGGTTGCCATTGCAAAGAGACAACTTAGTTGTCGGTCACGAAATCGTTGGTGAAGTCATTGCAGTTGGTGATGAAGTAACCGAATTCAAAGTTGGAGACCGTGTTGGAATTGGTGCAGGATCTTCCTCATGTCGTACTTGTAACAGATGTAACTCCGACAATGAGCAATACTGTAAGCAGGGAGCAGGCACCTACAACTCAAAAGATGTAAGATCAAACGATTACATTACCCAAGGTGGTTACTCGTCACACTCCATCGCCGATGAAAAGTTTGTCTTTGCAATTCCAGACGATTTGCCATCGGCCTATGCCGCTCCAC